TACCATAAAAACTATCAGTCTGTGCAGTGTCGTATGACATCTATGTACCAAGTTTCATGAAATGTGATGATTAGTACTTGAGATATCAGTGGAAAACCGAAAATTGACTAATCATTATGCAAATTAGGTAATTAGTATCCACGGATTATTACCAAAAACTAATCAAAACCTAGCATTAGTTCAGAGCATCTATGTACCAAGTTTCATCAAAATCCAATGAGTGGTTGTTTAGATATCAGTGGAACAGTCATGGAACCACTAAAAAATAGCTAATTATCATGCAAATTAGGTAATTAATATGCACGGATTTTTACCAAAAATTAATCAAATCTGCGCATATGTTCAGAGCATCTATGTACCAAGTTTCATCAAAATCCAATGAGTGGTTCTTTAGATATCAGTGGAACAGTCATAGAACAGCTAAAAATTAGCTAATTATCATGCAAATTAGGTAATTAACGAGCATGGATTTTTACCAAAACCTAATCAAATCTGCGCATTGGCCCAGAGCATCTATGCACCAAGTTTCATCAAAAACCGATGTATGGTGCTTGAGATAGCAGTGGAACAGTCGGACACACATACACACACACACACATACATACACACATACACACATACACACATACACACACACATACAGACACACTAACTGCAAAGACTCCCATTTTGTGCTTCGCACATGGGAGTCAAAAATTAAAAGCCTGTCTAGCCAATAATAATAACATAAAAAAATCACAGGAAAACGTCGCGATCAGTCTCTAATAATAGAGTTACACGGCAAAATATCTGTTGTTAATCGAAGGGAAGCACCGTGACCGGTCGGTGTCACGATAATTAACGGGAATCGCTTGAGTAAAATGCATCGCACTACGCAACAAAACAGATGTTTAGTACAAAGTAACAACAGAGTTGCGTAAATCCATATGTACTATTGGTTAGCGGTGCCCTCAAAAGTCGACGTCATGGCAACCAGCTTTTCATTTTTCTTTTGTTGCGTCTAGGTCTCGGCGACACTTACCGCATTGGCATTTTAATTAAAAAAATCTTACCGAAGTTCGCGTGAACACAGGACAGAGAGAACTTGACGGTTATGTCTTAGTTAAAGCGCGATTGTTATATTATCGAATTCGAAAACATACTTGTATAATTTCTGTTGCTGACCACATGGTTTTAGCATGGAGGTTTTAGTTACGACATTGTCATTGACCTCTGACTGAACTGTGAAAAGGAAACGTACATCATGCAACGACTCCACGTACAACAATTTTACTTTGTCTAGCATTTTACCTCTATGAACGTCGCGATGACGGTTTATACATTGGAATTTAAGTGAACACAAACAGTTTGTGACGATTATTTTGTCACATAATGAGACCAGTTTTCCAGATCGGTGCAGGGGTGAATCAAGACATCGGTAATATAATGGTGGACCAGGGACCGACTGATTTACATGCATGGCAAAATTACTCGCATATCATCAAAACAACATAACATATATTTGGAAATCGTGTTGTCACTGAGGTTTCGGCACAGGGTGTTTTTGTTTTGTTTTATTTTTACAACTACTGTACCAATGATATGAAATCGACAATCAGATACATGTACACATACCCACGCAAATCTCACAAAACAATCGGGTCTGTAAAGATTAAGGTGCACTCGGGGAAATAATTCAATCTGACAAATCTTAATGATGAAATCAACAAAACAAACATTTGTTAACTTTTCAAACAACACTCGTGTAACCACGCTGAAGTGATATTTTATGTTTTGGTGTTCCAAGAAATACCAGTCGCGCCGAGTTAAATAAGGAGAGTCGTATTTAACTGACCGTGACGAGCTTGATCTTGGGCTCACTTTTTTGAGGGCGAGCCCTTTAATGACCTCGCCACTGGCACGCATTGACTCGACATTGGCGGGACATGGCCTCGCCAATGGCGAGAACACATGGGTTCTTGTGTGCACATTGTACTGTATAAATGACTAAATGTCATGAATGAAACCGGAAAGTGTATATTATGTAAAACTGGAATATTTTATCTAGCAACTAATTGTTTTGATTGCAAGCACATTTGAAATACTATAAGATTTTAAACATGAACATAGAATCATAATATGAAATTAATAGATAAACCAAATATGCATAATGCATGATTCTACGTTCAACTAGAAAGTCATAAACAGTGAAATTGCAACTTACATTTTTGCCAACTACATATCGTTTCAAACAGTTATTTGTTTCTGGAAGGGTGGTTGCAATGAACATATGTTAATGACGCAATGCCTGACAATTTGTGTACTTTCTGTGGAATCCCTAACCGCATTAGGTAATGACAACAACATGGTGAAAGGCTGCATTTTAGAGTGACAGTCCAAGAATACTCTGTTGAATGGGCTTTATTTCGAATAATTAAGTTTTAAGAGTTACTGTGATGAGTATTTAATAAATGTACAATCTATCGAACTTCGTTGGGAGTCGTGTTTCACAGTGTATTGCACGATTTTCAATGTTTATTTGCGCAATGGTTTCACTGCAGCGTCAACATGGACGGTACTCTATGGCTGTCACCATAGCTCTACTCTGTCGACAATACCATACAAATATTATGTACATTTAATATACCATCAGGTCGACACAAGCAGTGCCATGGACCAACAGCTAAATGTATGTAAATAGCTTGCGCCTGCTGTTTAATTATATCAAGGTGTGAAAACAAAAAGATCAACGTCAGAACAAAAAAGAAAACAAGTCACGACAAGCGGTCAAGTGACTTTCGGTCATATATTATATCGAAACTTGAATGAATCGAATCGAAAACTGTTCATCAGACACACAGAAAACAATTTTAAACGTCCCGGACCACATAAAGTTCATTACAATACACTACCAAAGTTATTATGACACAAGAACACCCAACAAGCAGATCTTATTATACTATCCATTAAGATTACTCCAGTAAAATGTTCTTACCTTTACACGAATCACGATAAACAGTGTTTCACTAGACACCAAGCTAACAGTTTTTACAGAATGAATACAAAGTATACATCACGTGTCGAAATGCGCGCGAAAATTCTTGGGGCCTTTAAAAAAATCAACGCGAATTGTGTAGTTACGCTTTTCAATAATAATCTCGCGGATTAAAAATACTGAATGTAATTCATAAGACATTATTAGTGATTTTCTTATATTTTATCTGATAACTGTTGCATTTTCGTATTTGTTCAATGAACTTTTGTTGGGTTATAGAAGAAACAATTTTGTGAACATAAAATGCATGAATGTTGAACTACGTCATCCTCACTTGGGTCATAGTTCACTAGAAAGTTGTAGAAGACAGGTTTGTTTGTCTGTTTAATTTGCCGAGGCAGCGAATTTCGCAAATAAATCACCGATGTACTGTAAATCAAAACGACCTAGGTGCTGTTTAACACCTTTTACTATTTCCTGTTTTTAAAATGTCATCAAACTTCAGTTTCTGTGATTCGCAACCCCAACCAACACCTGTGCGTGTCGTTGGTCGCGTTCCGCCTGGACATCTCGTAGCATCTGAGAAATGGAGGGGAACAACACTTGTACAGTCACTTCGCGGTAAGAAAATGTTTGTGGATTGGTCATTGAAATTAGAATTTTTTGATAACATATTTATTTATTTATTTATTTATCCCCCGAAGTGGATGAAACGGGTTACAAATCAGATATTTATTACTACCTTATACTAAAATATATTTGTTGTATAGTATAGTATAGTATAGTATAGTATAGTATAGTATAGTTGACTCAAATTAATGAATTGGGAATACATTAACCATGGTCAATAATCAAAAACAACAACAACACAATAACAAGAAATACAGATATAAAAAATACAATAAAATGTTAAAACAGATAACACTAACAACTATTAGGTATTAGGTATTGTATATTTAGACTAGTAGCTTTGCGGTGAGTGGCTTTCGCAGTAAGTGGGTTTCGTATCTGTAGGGTTTCGCAGGGAGTAGGGCTTTGTCCAAGTAACTGGTCCTTTCATCCTTGTTGAGAATTGAAGTTTTATGTTTCTTTAACAACTGGCATTATTCTGGGAATACCATCCTAGCAGGAGTTCCAAAATAAGACCCATGTTCTGATAATGTCTCTAGTTTCAAAGACCAATAAACATTACCATTATGATCTTATTGATGTTGCAAAGGATAGTTGAATATTGTTTCTTGAAATTAATAATCCCCATAACCGTTTTCCAATATAGATAAATTGTAGTACGTATCAAACTGTATAACTCAGTGTCAACAATGAAATAAAGGAATGTATACATTTACACTATTATACTTATTTATTATAATTTTATTGCTACTGTACTGATAGAAATACTGTATTTCTAAAGATGCAATAAATATTATTATTACTAATGCATTGCAATACAACTAATTCAAATTGAAAGAAATTACAATATAAAGTATTCATCAGTAATACTTCTCAAAGGCGTATTTCGCGGTCAGTGTCGATTATTTACGAAAATATTTGTTTATAATTTCAGTGTTCTCCCCAGGAATTTAAACCACTGTGGCGGACTAATTTGCATATCATTTACATAATAATAGAGATTGACCAAAGCATATTAACATCCACATACAGTAACATATATTTTCAAAAACAATGTGGCACATATTTATTTGTTTCATACAGTGTTATAAACACTATTCTTTTGGGATATTAATGAGCTCAGTCGCAGTGCAAATATTTTTTTCTATTGGAGTCAAATATTACATT